ATGGTATGATAGGTGGAAAACTTTGGCTTCAGGCAAACGTGGGGTCCCTGCTGTGCAAGCCCACTCATCCCTCCACCAGTCACAGACCCTCCTCATGTAACCCACAGGTCCCCTGCCTGCTCCTTGTGAGTGGAAAGATAGATGCTATGGTCTCTGGGGGTGCAAGGGAACCTGTACCGCATGCATCTCTCTGTGGTGAGGGTGTCGGGGACCTCGGGACTGGCCTCGGGGAGCAGAGGGAGTGACTGTAATGCAGCAGGCCTGGCGCCTTCCTGAGCCTGGCTTCTCACTCCATATCCTGCAGGGCGCCCATTAACTATCAAGGATGACACAGTAAGGGACTTGGTGTCCAGTGAGGGGCACAGAGGAGGTACTCAATAAATGGCTGCTCGTCATTATATCCAGAAGAGAGGTTGCCCTGTGATGTTGTTGGGGGCCCTGCAGTATTCCTGGGCACTCAGTGACCCCTCATCGCCCGGCAGGGACTGCAGTATGAAAGCTTGTCTGCGTCCCTCAAGGCCACTGTCCGCTCTGAGGCAGATATGGTGGCTGTCAGGGCTGAGACATCAAAGATGCATACAAGACCCGCACCTCTCAGGTACAGAGACAGCCCTGGAGTCGAGATCCTCAACCTCGGGGTCGATACACCCCATAAAGACTTCTGAAACCTGGCAATACCCAAATGGCATACAAATGTGTTGTCTGGAGGAGAGGGGCCACAGCTTTCATCAGAGTCTTAAGGAGGGCCATGACTCAAAGAATTAGGAATCTTTGGTCTGGGTGTAGCAAATCAGGCATCGAATTCCACTGAAGAGGGAACAGCCGGGGGAGTGGGCTCAGTCCTGTGCTGAGCTTGCCCATGTCAGAGAGGCCAAACATATGCCAGTCTGAGCCCCCAGTGCCTGACCTAGCACCTCTCTACATAAGCTTGAATTCCACCTGGACACCAGATTTGGGGTATGGAAGAGAGACCAGCGCTCGGACCAAGCCACTGTGAACCCCGGAGGTGGTGGGGTGTCTTGTGAATGGAAGTGATTAGGGCCTGGGTAGGGGCAGAGAAAGTGAAGCAGCCTCTGGGGCTCCTCATCCATGGACAGTGGCACAGATGATGGGTGGGCCTTGGGGCTCCTTTCTGCCTTAGTGAGCTTGGTCAAAAAGTGAAAAAACAAACAAACAAAAAACCGACCTCCCTCGGCCTTGAATTCTACCTTGGGTGCGAGTGCTCAGGATCTTAGCTCACAGCCCTGGTCAGAGGCCTCGGCCATAGCCTGCGGGTGTCCCTCGCTCTCATCCGTGTGCAGTTTCTCCCCCCTCCCTTTCTCTTTTGGTTCTTTTAAAATTTGCCTTATCTTACTTATGTTTTTCTCATAAAACACTTAAATCATTTTGAGAAGCTAGGAGCTATAAATAGATGGGAAGGAGCAGGGGAGGGAAAGATACTCATTTCTAAAAAAAATTGCCTGGAAAAAGCGGGCTTTCGGTTGAAGGCTCTTGTATTTGTTTTTCTAAAAGATGCTGCTTTTGATAAGTCAGTTATTCTCATCAAGGACAATGTGGAAAATTCATAAAATTTAAAAAAGAAAGAAAAAGAAATGGCCCGAATTGCATTATGCACCCAGTATTTTGATTTGTTTCCTTCCAACCTTTCTTACATGTAGAAATTAAACCTTTTTATTTATAGTTACACTATAAATGGTTCCCATTTAGACTTTCTTACTTAACATATATCATCTATCACATGGACGCTTTCCTGTAGTACTAAAAACTTTGTGAGCATTCAAAATACTTCAGTTCCCTTTAGACATCCTCATTTTCTATTATTACAAAACCTTGACAAACATCTTTGTCCACAAAATACTTTACAAAGTTAAGATTATTTCCTAGAGGAAAATTCAGAGGGCTGGGCCTGTGCTAGAGTGCGCTCGTCAGTGTGTGCGCGCTGCATGTGTCCTCGGTCCTCCAGAGAAAGGGACTGAGGTGGGCCTCATCCTGGGCCCCGCTGAGCAAGTGACTGGTTCTCTGAATCTGTACATCTCATTGGTGGGGTGGAGGGAAGGAAACCTCCCAGTGACTTATGAACAGGGCCTGAAATCCCTGACCCGTTGGGCTGACCAAAGCAAAGCCTGCCAGGCCTGATATCCAGCACCCTTCTATGTCAGGGCCATGTAGGGGCTGTCGAGGTTGGTGGTGTCTGCTCTGTCCACTCTCCTGCCTGGCGCAGAGCCCCATGCTCTGATCTATTGGCAGGTCTGTGCATCATTCCAGCTTGGCTGAGCTCTGCTCCAAGGCAGGCTGGGCTGGTTTTCTCCTCAGAAAGGCTGGTCAGTGGGGTCAGCCAGTGGAGGCATTAACATTATTTTAGCCATTATTGCCTTTTTGTTAATGAGGGGAGGACCAGGTGGGGCAATGCCAAACCATACAGAATGTTTCATGGTCTTGGGATTTAATGTCCCAGGACAGGTTCTGTGTTCAGGCAAAAGAAAGCAATTGACAATGACTTTCAGTCCCAACTGGACTCCCAAGGGTCCTTTGTGCTTCACCGAACTTTCATTTTATTATTATTTTTTTGAAAAATATTTTTCCTATGAAGTTATGAGCCTTGGAAGCTGGGAGAAGCCCTGGAGATCTCACTGGGCTCATGAGCGAGGAGCTCTTAGTGTGGATGGGGCTTCTGAGGGAGGCTGAGCCCTGGGCTGCACAGCCAGGAGATTCTTCCCACACTGCTCTGGGTTTGGCTGCAGAGTGATGGCCGAATGCCCATCTACTGACGGTTTAAGGGTGAAAAGGTGCAGGGGTCCATCTCTTGGAACAGAGTTATGGAGCAAACCAGCTCAGTCGCAGTGATGAGATTCAGAAGCAGTGACTGATTTCCCGGATGTCCCTGAGCCCATGAACCTTTAGCTTGTGTCTTCAAATTGCACAGCCCACAACATGTGCACAGGTGCTCCTGAAAGTGACTTCCCGTGACAAAAAAGCAAAGCGACCATAGGACTGAAAACAGTTGAAAACTTTCATTAAAGCCAATGACAAAATGTTTGAAAACTTGCAAGAAATTGGATCTGAGATGTTCTGGCTATAAAACAGCCATTGAACAACTCAAACTGAAGCATGGAAGTGAGATGTGCTTGTAGCCAAGAAATATATATATATATATATATATATATATATATATATATATATATATATATATATATTTATGGGGCCTCTCTGGTGGCACAAGGGGTAAAGACACAACCTATGAAGCTGTCCGCAGCCATTGCAGCATGAGTTCGATCCCCGGCCAGGGAGATACACACATGGCGCAGCAGACCTCTCCTGACTCGCCTGCTGCTCCCCTCAGCAGTGTAGTTCAGTCGATCTGCCTGTTTTGCTCCCCACTCTGTCTCTGGTGAATCCTCTTACCCCCCACACCTCTGGTCTGATGTTTATTTGTATATATAGTCTCTCTCTCTCTCTCTCTCTCTCTCTCTCTCTCTCTCTCTCTCTCTCTCTATATATATATATATATATATATAGTCTTTCCAGTGTGACCCACATTTGTGACCCTCTATGGTGTGCCGGGTGCAGAGCTGGATCCTGGGGACAGAGATGTATAGGGCTGAGTTTCTTGTCCCAAGGAGTCTAGTTGGGGAAAGACCTACTAGGCTTGTTGCAGTACCACGGGCACTTAGGAGGAGAAATGGATTCCGATGAGGGGGGTGATGTATAGCCCAGAGGAAGCGACCTTTGATATGGGCCTGAGGAGTGAGTGCACTATTGATGCTAGAGATGTAGGAGCACACCAGGAAGGCCGGAGACACTAATACCCAAGGATGGGTATCAGTTGTTTTAGTGGGAGAGTCATCTCTGTGACTTTGAGGGTGAAGAAAAGACAAGGGGTGAATAGGAAGTGGAGACTTGCCAAGTTGTGGATGATTTCCATCTTAAGGAGTGTGGACTTGATTCTGTAGCTAGTAGGGACTGTGGGAAGGTTTTGGAGCAGGGAAGTGATGTAATTTTTAAAATTAAAGGCAAACACATTAATACTTGTTCATTCAAAGATTGCAGCTATACTAACTCCTCTAAAGCAAAAGGTGAGAATACGCCTCTTCCCAGAAGTAACAAGTGTCCTCCTTCATGTCATTTCTCCTACCTGTAGGTATAGACATGGGGAGTTAAGCCCTAGATGTGTGCTTGTCCTCCTCTCTCATACATATTTTAATAATTAAAGTTACATAAAATAGGACCATAATCTAGGGAAGTCTGTGCTAAGTCACAACTCTCAACTTTGGGTGTTTTTCATCCATATATATATTTTTAAAGATTATTTATGCATACAAGAACTGGGGTACAGGCCAGCGGTGTGGGGGGTGAGAGGATTCACCAGAGACAGAGTGGGGAACAGAACAGGCAGATCTATGGAAATACACTGCTGAGGGGAGCAGCGGGCAAGACAGGAGAGGTCAGCTGCACCATGTGGGTAGCTCCCTGGGTGGGGATTGAACTCATGCTGCAGTGGCTGCAGATAGCTTCATAGGTTGCATCTTAACCCCTTGTGCCACCAGGGAGGCTCACTCATCCATATTTGTTTGTTTTTTCTTTTTAAAGATTTATTTATTTATTTATGCAAGAACTGGGGTACAGACCAGATACATGGGAGGGTGAGAGGATTCACCAGAGACTGAGTGGGAAACAGAACAGGCAGACTGACGAAATACACTGCTGAGGAGAGCAGTGGGCGCGACAGGTGAGGTCTGCCTTGCCATGTGGGACCCTCGCCGGCTGGCCGGGATCAAACTGGAGCTGCAGAGGCTGCGAACAGCTACACAGCATGGTGCTCAACCACCTGTGCCACCAGGGAAGGCCCCATATTTGTTTTTGAACATGGCCTACAAAACTTCCCATACAATGGAAATTCTGATGTATTTGCTCAGAACAGAAAGGGGTCTCTTTGTCCTTCCTTGAGAATGATTGCTGCCTAAGAACATTAGCTCATCTTGCTCTCCTTTGTATTATTTTAGAACATGGTTTTATTGGATATTCACCAGAACTCCTGCAGAACAACACCCTGCCGGATTACAGCCCCGGGGAGTCTTTTTTCACTGTTTTTGGAGTGTTCTTCCCAGCAGCTACAGGTATAGTAATCTGGATTCTTTTTCATTCCACTTTAGGGATATAAATGCTTGGTTCCCAAAACACAGTATCATATTCGACAGCATGTAACTTTAGAGATAACCTTAGCGTTGCTAAAGTGCTAAAGTCTACTGTTGTGATAGTTCCCTTGCTCATGATTCCTGAAGGCCCCAACATGATATACTACTCCTTACCCCTTATACTTACATAGTCACATCACTTGGCAAATTATCAGGGGGCACAATTTTTTCATGAGGCTGTACAGGCCTGATTGAGCAGCAGTCCATGTTGGCCTTTGCGCCCTGGAATAAGTGCGCCTTCTCCCAGGGAACAGAGAAAGGCGACTGTCTTTTACTGTACTGGAAGTGGGCAAAAATCAGGATCCCGTGAGCAGTGAATGAATCTGCTTACACCACCTTCCTCACTTTCTGTGGAGGACCCTTCCACAGCTGAGGTTCCTGAAAACTCTTGTCTCATGCTTGGGCACAGACCTGGAAGGCAACTAAAAGTTGGCCAAATGCCCCTTACGTAACAACCATTTGCTAGGGTCTGGTTTGTCCCCAGGGCTCAGACTCAGAAAAGCGCTTCCCTCTTGATTAAGGCAGAGTCGATGCTCTGGATTGTAGCTGATTTTGTCTTCTAGTCCTCCTCTCCTCCCTCTGCCTTTCCTCATGGGGCCATTTCTTTGCTTATTAGTATCACATTTGGTTTAATGTTTTGCTGTTGCTAAAATTCTTACTAATTTTTGAAAAAGGGACTCTCTTTTTTTTTTTTTTTTTTTGGTACTGAGTCCCAGAAACTATGTAGCAAATTTTGTTCTTGTTCCCCTGTGCTTTCCCCAGCCATTCTGTGGTTTCTTTTCTACTTCCTTGAGCCTCTAAAATCTCCAAAGGCCCCAGGCTTTGAGAAACAGAAGCCCAGTGTGCAGGCAAATTCTACTTCTTCCCTTATACATATTTCCCCTAAGGCAATAAAATATAGGTCAACTTCCTCTGAATGGACAGAAAAGGAAAGTGAGAAGTAAAAGTTTTATTATCAGTAAAGTTACAAAGATCAAAATTACACTATTGAATGGTGAGGGTTTTGAAAAAGTTAACATTTGAAAATATTTTCCAGGCCTTTCCCCCACACAAGCAGGGCACACATTCAAGAGACCCCTCCTCCCCGCCCCCCCAGGATTTCCTCAGACCTGGCCTTGAGTCCCATGTTAAATCAAGGACCTCTGGCCCAGGTGCCAGGTGAGCAGTTACACCTGAGGCTGGGCTGTGGCCTCCTCGGCTAACTAGTAGCTGCTTGAGGTTTGAAGATGTTACTCAGTAGTAGTTCAGTGTTTGAGCTGGACTAATATTTGTCATCAGCCAGTCCAATAACTTTCAACTTCTAGTCGTTTTCATCCATATTTGTTTTTGGTACTTGTACTACACAACTTCTCATACAATGGAATTTCTGATATACTTCCCTGGACCCGAAAAGGGTGCCTTTGTCCTTCCTTGAGAAACTTTGTTACCTATGAATATTAGTCAAGCTTTCTTTCTTTCTTTTTTTTTTTTTAAGATTTATTTATTTATGCATATAAGTGCTGGGGTGTAGGCCAGAGGTGTGGGGGGGTGAGAGTATTCACCAGAGACAGAGCGGGGAGCAGAACAGGCAGATGTACTGAAATACACTGCTGAGGGGAGCAGCGGGCGAGACAGGAGAGGTCTGTCCCACCGTGTGGGTAGCTCCCTGGCAGGGGATTGAACTCATACTGCAGTGGCTGCAGATAGCTTCATAGTGCTGAGACTTAACCCCTTGCGCCACCAGGGAGGCCCTCAAGCTTTATTTCTGTGGCCTAATTATGAAAATATTATTTCCTAACATTCCAAATATGAAATTACAGTATTGAATAAACCGTCTACACAGGCTTCTTTTACTCCGCCCCTCTTAGGGGATGTGCTTACGTTCCTCCAACACCTCCTCAGCCCAGCCAGGTTGGGAATATCTCCTGATTCTTTATTTTACCAACTGGGAAAGGGTGAGCACCGGGGAGCTTATAAGGGATTGCTAATGGTCACCCAGCTAATTACTGAGCGGAGTTGGGTCACTGTCCTGCTGAGGAGGGTTGCCCTTTCCTGGGTCTCTCTCTGTTTGCCAGGGGCCCCAATGTAAACACAGTAGGAGGGAAGAACAATTTGTATCAGTTGGCTTTCCCTGACAGATGTTCCATTGAGCTATGAAAAGCATGGATGATTGGCAGTTTCCATGGTGATGGATTTGCCAAGGATTAGCTCTGAGTGAGTCATGGCTGAGGCTCCCTCCAACGCCATCCTCTTCTGGAACAAGAGAACCCTCCAGGCTGTGGAGAGGGGGAGGGGAATTTGGAGGAAAGAACACTTCAGTCTCCCCACTCTGTGTCCCCATATTTGGTCAGGGACATATTATTTAAGTTACTTCAAATATTTGATCTCAAGGGCAGGAGGCTTCTTAGGAAGAAGAGCTGAAAACTCGGTTTTGGTGGCTCCTCTGGGTTCATGACGCTCTCCTGCGGCCCTCTGCCTTTCTTACTGCTCTCCACCACACTCTTTGGTAGTGGCTACAGGGTGGGGCTGGGACCTTGGATTTCTCATTTGCTTTGTTCTTAAAGCATTTTCCTTGTCCAAGCTATACACCACCAAACTTGCCCTGAAAAACAAAAATCTCTCCCTGCAGGGTTCTCTCTCTCTCTCTCTCTCTCTCTCTCTCACACACACACACACACACACACACACACACACACACACACACACACTCCAGCAATCCTGGGACCACAATGCATGGAAGAACTAGGAAATGGAAATTCACTGGGAATAATACCAATGTGTGAAGTCATTTAAATCCTTGTCCCCAGATCTCAAACTTTTACTGGAAGGGATAAGGACCTCTCGTGGTTGACCACACCCAGCATAAAAATGCAGGAGTGCGGGGGAACAATAGCTTTTACCGGAATGTCTGTGGTAGTCACCTTCATAGACAAGAGCTCACTATTTCTATGACACCCTTTGGCCTCCCTGGGCCTGACCCCCTCCTCCCCTCCCCTGGGAGCTCTGGGAATCTGCATTGGCTGACTGTCTCCAGGACCCTCCGCTGTGGGCATCAGTGCTGGCTCTTACCTTCTCCATTCCTCTGCGCCAAGACATTCCATAGTTTTCACAAGTTTGTGTCTCGTGGTTGACACAAGGACCTGCCAGGCCAGAATGGGGTCCCCAAGTTGAGATAACAGAGACTCCCATTAAGGGTAATCTGAAGACGGGACAAATCCTCTCCCCCTACCCCCCACAGCATTCTGATGGACTTATGAGTAGGATTAGGAGGAAAGAAGGCAGCTTTATAATTACGGTGCCTATTTATTTTTGTAATTTTATTATAGAATCAATTTATAATCTTATCAAAATTATGATATATATCTACAGTAAACATTATCATCATAATGGCCTTACATAAGGCCCTGTGCTGCACACTTTACATATAGTCTTTCATTTAAACCCTACCACTGGTTCTAGCAGATGCAATTTCACTGTGAAGCTAATAAAGCCTTGACCTCAAGATCCCTCACTTGTGTGAGCTCCTTTTAAAGCCCTGCTCCTAATTTCAAATTCATAATTCTGTCTCTTTCTTAAAATTTCAAGACTCAGAGAGCCTGAATTTTTCTATGAGTTCTATTATTAATCCATTTGACAAACGAAGAAGCAAAGACACAGAGAGGTTATTTCTCCAAGGTCACCCAGACAGTAAGGGATAAAACTGATTGCTTCTATGCACTATGAGGAGCTGCTGGAAGACAGGACACAGTTATATGTCCCCAACCCAGAAACCAGGAGATCTTGCTTAAGTTCTTGCATTTTTGAACATCCTATTATTGGACACTGTCCCAGCAGAATCTTCAAAACATTGAGAGGCTGTGGGACTGATAAGTCCCACAGAGTGGCAGAGTGAAGAGAGGATGAAAGATTCCTATAGGGACAACTAAGCAAACAAAGCAATAAACCAGTGTGGGGAAGCAGTAGGGCTTGGGTGAGGAAAGTAGAGGCAGCCCCTAGTCCTTAGGAACCCACAGGACTTCTGAGTGAGGAATGAAGTTCATCTTTCCTGAGTGGACATTCATTTAGACCTCCATAAGTGCCAGGCACTGTGCTAGGAGCCTTCTAAATGTCCCTTCTAATTTTATAACAGCGCTGCAAGGTAAATAATCATATTCCCTCAATCTGATGAAGAAACAGAGTCTTAAGGATGCAGCCTCCAAACTATAATAATCTCCTTTCGTCACCAAAACGGGCAGCAGATAAGATTGGGTGCTTTAGTGCCTGGGTATTCTTCCTTAATAAAAAAGAAAAAGAACAAATTCATAAACTTTAAAAAAGAAAGAAAATAGGCAGCAGAGAAGCAATTAAGCTATAAATAGAAAGAGAAAATTAAAGGTTTCTAAGGATACAGATTTGGATTGAAAAACTCCCAGGAGGAAGCTGGAAGTTCCTTGATAAAGAGCACGTAGTCTTGTAATGAACAACTAGCAGGAACCAGAAAAGCCTAGAAAAATGATTAGGCATTTTTTTCCTTATTAATTTTCATTTGCAGGAACAAAAAGAAACTAAGGTGGGAATGGGATAGTGATGGTAGGCACCAAGTGGAGCTTTTGCTTGATGTGTACCATGGTGGACCCAAGGCCAGGGAGAAAAAGATGGCCACTATCTTGCAAATGTTGGCAAGTGGTTATTTGACATTTATACTGGTTATTTTATCCACTAACTTATTTGGAGATGTATAAGGGATCCATTCCTCCATTCCTCTCCTCAACATCCACGTCTATTCTTGGATCAGATATTGGAGCCAGAGTGCCAACCCAGGCCTCCTGTTCACCTGGTGCCACCCACCCCAGCCTTGGGCATAGTACCAATGCCCAGGAGGCTATGGATGGTGTTGGCAGGTCAGCCTCATAAGCCTAAGCTTGTAAAATGATGGCCCACACCCTCTTACTGCTGTGAAAGCT